TCTCTCTCTCTCTCTCTCTCTCTCTCTCGTGTGTGTGTGTGTGTGTGTGTGTGTGTGTGTGTGTTCTCTTCAATTTCTTTGTTACTTTCTTTATAGAGACCATACACTTCTTTGGTTAAATTTATCCCTAGGTTTTTTGTGCTTATGTGTTTTGATTTTTTTTTTTTTTGGCAGGGGGAGCATTCTAGCTCTTATGAATGGGATGCTTTCTTTTCTTAGAGATTTCATTATCAATACATTATAAAGCTACTGATTTTTGTTTGTTGGTTTTAAATTTTGAAACCTTAATTTGTTATCAGTTCTAAGAATTTTTTGTTGTCTTCAGGGTTTTGCATGTATGTATAAGATGAAAAGTAGGTCATCTGCAAAAAAGGGATAACTTGTATTTCCTCCTTTCCTATCTGGATATCTTTTCTTTCTCTTGCCTTATTCCTCCAGCTGTGACTTCAAATATTACGTTGAATAAGCATTATAAAAGTGGCATCCTTGCCTTTCTTGTGACCTAGAGGAAATATTTTCACCTTTTTCCATTTGGTATGTATTAGCTGCTAGCTTGTCATATGTAGCCTTCATTGTATGAAGGTACATTCCTTCTATACCTAAATTGTTCATTTTATTATGAAGGCAAGTTGGGATTTATCAAATATTTCTTCTGGGTCTAGTGAGATAATCATATGGCTTTGCCATTCGCTCTGTTGATGTGATGTGTCACCTTCATTGACTTCAGTTTGTTGAGCCATCCTTGCATCCCACTTGATCATGGTGGATAACCATTTTTGTGCTGTTTAAATTTGCTACTGTTTTGTTGAGAATTTTGCATCTGTGTTCCTCAGGCCTATTTTCTATAGTTTTTTCCTCCTACTTTTTTATTACCTCCTTTTCTGGCTTTGGTATCAGGTGATATCAGCCTCATAAAATGAGTTCCTCTCAATTATTTCGAATAGTTTCAGAAGAATTGGTGTTAGTTTTTTTTTATTAAAGGTTTGGTAAAAGCTTTAATAGTAGTGAAGCCATCCACTTCTGAGATTTTCTTTATTGTGAGATGCTTTATTGACAATTTAATCTTGTTAATTATTGTTCTGCTCGGGTTTTCCATGTCTTTATGGTTCAACTTTCTTTATATATGGCTATAAGTTCTAGGTTTTCCCATTTGTTGGGATATAATTGTTCATAATAGTCCTTGATGATTTTTGTATTTCTCTGTAGTAATGCCTCCTTTTTCATCTCTGCTTTTACTTGTTCAGGTCTTCTATGCACCCCTCCTCCATTAGTCTAGCTAAAATTATACTGATTTTGCTTATCTTTTCAAAATACCATTCTAACTTTCATTGATCTTTTGGGGAGTTTTCAGTCCCTCTTTTATTTCTGATCTTTGTTATTTTCTTTCTACTAACTTAGGGTTTGATTTGTTCTAGAATTTTATTCCCTGAATTGCTCTTTTAGACTATTTACCTGAATTTTTTTATGCTGTCTCTTCCTGATTCACAGGACCCCAGTGGGTGGGTCATGACACAGCTCTGTGTTTAACAGCCTGGATGGACGCTGTGCTCTTTTGCTGAAGCAGTGCATGGTATGGTGACCTGGAAGCTCTTCAAACTGGGCTCAGGGCCTGTATGATCTACACATCTTTCTAGCAGAAAATATTTCAGGTATCCACAGAGATGGTGAGGCTGACTTGAGTTTCCTTCCTACCCGTTTCCTACTATTCAAAATTCTCTTAACTCAGGGTGCTCCCAAGAGCTGAGCTGACAGATGCTGTGTGTTTAGTCCCCTTCTTTATAAGGCCATTGCGTGTGTCTGTCCTCCGAGACATTTGTCACATTCACATGGCATTCTGCTGCCTACTTCAAACACTCCAGTGAAATAGCAGCTGTCTTTCTTATTCTTTTTTGTGGAAAGAAACCAGCCAGGCATCTCTAGGTAACCATCATGTTGGTGCCACTCCTAAAGCTTTAACGTAGGAGAACAGTTCAGAAGAAAGAAATGTCTCTGTATTATTCCTAGTGTAGCAACTCATGGGTGTCAATCAGGATAGAAAGGAAGACCCAAAATGACACTTCATTTGCTAGCTAGCAACCTGGGTGGACATTGGTGCCACTCACTGACATGGATAATACACAGGGTGGCAGTTAGGGACAGGGTATGTTGTAGTGCTACACCATTTAAGATGATGGCTGTGGGAGAGACTGTTCTGGTGCCATCTGGCTGTTCTTCCTAACACCAAAGAGTATCCTGTAGCCAACAGCAGCTCTGGTTGAGGAGGCAAAGAAGTGCATTGAGTTGTAGATGTGTTGCGTTGATGAAGCCCCTGTGGCTTTTGGGGGGAATGGGTGGCGGGTGTGATAAGAACAGGTGCTCGGCCTGAGTGATAGACATGAGGTCATGATTGCACAGGAGACAGGAGTTGTACAACCACCCCATGCACAGGGCTGCCTTCCGTCACAGTTGGCTGCATCCAGGAAGTGTTGGTTGTAAGATGAAAACTAATTTCAGAGACACTAGGATGAGGAAGAGAGGCCATCCTAGAATTGACATATATGGTCAGTGCTGTTGTCTCTCGAGGCCAAACAGAGAAGAGATGGGAGGACCATTTGGAGACACATGGGGAGTAACTGGAGGAGAAAGAAGCCTCCCCCTGCCTGTGGCTGTGTCGCTTCTTCAGTTCAACCAGATTTTGGGGCTTGATCGCTATTGACCATGTGAAAATAATCAAATCACTGTGACATAGGATTATAGCTATATGACAGGGAGTTACTGAGATTCTAAATGAAACAGGAATAAAGTCTTGGAAAAGAAATGAAATAGGAATAAAGTCTTAGAGGGAAAAGAAATGAAACTCAAGCAAGGAAGTTAAGCCAATGAACATATTTTAGGTAGAACCACAAAACTACAGAGAAACTGAAATCCCTTGAGACTTGCAGTCCTGTTTTCAAGGCAGCCATGTCCTGAAGCAGGTGTGGGTTTGGCCCTGTTTCATCCCTTGATTACTGTAGGGCTGGGCATTAAAATATTTTATGTACAGATGTGCCAAATTTATTTATGATGACTTCTGTTATTGGCTCACTTTAGTTTTCACTAAAAACAATGCTACAATGGACATGTACAGATACACACTATACTTATGTACATCCTTGTTATTTTTCTTTTGAAATTATAAATGTTTGGCTGAGAGATTTGGTTGCCAATGTTTGAGGTTTGGAATACAGTATTTTTATACAGTATTTTAAATTTTATTGCATTTTCACTTTATATTGTGATTTGCATCATGAGAGGATTTGCAGACACTGTGGACAAACGATGAGCCATTTTGTGTAAGGGTCTTAAGTGTGTTCATGGACCCTGGTGTCCAGGGGGCAGGGAAGGCGGGATCCCATGCGCATGGAGGGACAACTGTATACACTTTCCACGTATGTGACATTTTCCATACTTAAGAATACTCTTACTTCATATTACTTTCAGCTATGCCTTTTGAGTTTGGTCTTTTGAATCTGGTATTTTCACTTTACGTCCATGTTAAGAGGTTACACTTACTTGTGCATGGTTACTTATCTTCTTGGTAGATGGTACCTTTCAGAACTGTGTCTGTATTTACACTGTCTTTCCCTGAAGTTCTACTTGTTCTAAGATCTCTATTAAAATTGCCTACAGCATTTTTAAATTGGTATCGTCTCATATCTTTGCTTTCAACCTTTCTTTCTGCTTTAGGTGTGCATTGTATTCTAGCATGTAAGTGGATTTTATGGTTTTTAAATTATTGTATTTTCACATTTAAATTGCAAAATTTTTCTAAAATACAGTAAACCTGGATCAACTGGAATTCTTATACCCTGGCAGGAGTGTGAAATGGTATGAACACTCTAGAAACCGTTGTACAGCTTCTTATATAACTAGACACACCTAACCTGAGTCTTCAACCTCTGTTCACTCAGGAGAAATGAAAGCCTATCACAAAACGGCTTATAGGAAAATGTGCATAGTAGCTTTATAAACAGCCAATGTCCATCAGTTTGGGAATGGGTAAATAGATAGTGTATTACAATAGGAGCCACACAGAAATGTAAAGGGTGAAGTACTTTAAGCAACATGGATGAATTTCAAAAATTCATCAGCTGAGTAAAAGCATAGCATTCTAGACTCAGAAATAAGTGCTCAGGTAGCTCTGTTCCAGATCTTGGTAGGGGTTTGTAGTACTCAGGCAAAATGTATTTGTTAAAACTCACTGGATTCTGCACTGAAGATTTGTTTCATTCTATAAATTCTTTCACAAAAAGAACTATAAACATTATACTTTTGAGGGGCAGTATTGGAGTTTGAACTTAGGGCCTTGCATTTGCTAGGCAGGCACTCTACCACTTGAGCCACTCCTCTAGCCCTTTTATGCTTTTAGTTCATTTTTGAGTAAGGCCTTTTATTTTTGCCAGGGCTAGCCTCAGATAGCAATCCTCCTATCTACAGCCTCCCACATAGGTGGGATTACAGACTTGAGTCACAATGCCTGCTTGTTTGTTGTGATGGGGTCTTGGTAATGTTTTGTTCAGGCTGGCCTCAAACCTCAATCCTCCTGATTTCTGCCTCCCAAGAAGCTAGGGATTATAAGTGTGTGCCACCAGGCCCAGCCAAACATTAAACTCTAATGCCATTTGTGCTGAACTGTTAAAAGGGTAAAGTGTGAGGATGTCTGCAGTTTATTTTGAACTATATAAAAAAATAAGAGGTTATGGTTAGTCAGGTATGATGATGCAAGTTGAACCCCATGGTCCCTAAGTATTAGTTTGCTGGTTGTTTAAACTCAGCAGCTGCCATTGGTGTGCAGTGGTTGTTGTCACTGTGGTTCTACTTTGCATCTCTCTGACTCCAGTGCTGTGGTTACTTTTCCATGTGCAAGTCGTCATTCATACATCTACATTCGTGAAGTGCCTGGTCACATTTTTTGCCCACTTACAAAATTGAGTTGTCTTCCTATCAATGAGCTAACTTATTAGTATTTAAAATAACAAATGTTTGGGGGGAATGACATGAACTGTGTGTGCATGGAATCTCACAAGGTTACATGTCAAGTCATTTTGTTTCATTAATACACTTTATTTGGTTTAAAGACTGATAGATGTAGTTAAGGTTGTGAGATACAAAGAAGCATAAAATGTGAGCCAAAAGAAATTTTTCCCCTCGCAAACTGTTTCTATCAGGTATTTGTTATAGCAAAGATAAGTCTCACACAGATGGGTTTTGGGTGAGGCTATAGCCAGCTCTCTTATGGGTTCAATTTTGAATTTTGTGCAACATTTTACCAGCTCAGATGTTACTTTTTTAAGCTATATTGACCCTGATGTCAACATAAACTTACTGGGCAACCACAGCCAATTTATTACATACACATGTAACATAAATCGAGATTCAGTTTTAGCTAAAGCTTGCTGTTTCTTTTGGCTTATTTATGAGTTTCAAAATAGTCACTCTCATCTCCCTTCTTAAATATCTTAGGCCATATTATAACCTACAGTGCTCTTCCCTTCAGAAAACCACTTTCTGTAACTGTCAGCTTTGTAGTTTCTCAACTTTGGAGTTTCTCAGTGGGACTCAATCACTCTGTTTTGAAGTTTTATTTGTTGATCTAAAAGGACAGTTAAAATTTTTTGGTATTATTTAAATCTCTCTTCAATGGAAGAACAGCTTTCTCAGATTGTTTGCTTCACGATTACATGTAATATACACATAACACATACACAATGTCATGTCAGAAGTCTGCAATTGTTCTGTTTTAGTGCTGGTTGAGAAAAGCAACACACAGGTGACAAGCTTGGAAGGCTTAAGGATGGTTTACTTGTAAGAAGGTAAAAAGAAGTGAGGAGTGCTAAACAGACTTTGGGGTGGACAGGTGGGATTTACCTTCCTGGCACTCAAGTTTCCCGCTGCTATCATGCCTGCTTAACTCTTAGGCCATGTAGTTTGGTGGGGGCTGATCCTAGTGGTGAAGAAGAGTTAACAGGCAGGCCTTGAGAAGGCTGGCCCTCCCTCAGCTGACATCTAGGGACTTGTTTTGGGAACTTGTTTCACCATTCCCACACTGAATGGCTCTCTGTAGAAGCAATATAGTGCATCTGAACCCCCTGCTCTCCTAAGAGGTCTAAATTTTGGTCTGTGCATGGAGAAGCAGCCTACATGAATGAGCTCCTAACATAGACCTTGAGCAGTCACTGATGAGCTTTGTTGGTATCCAAGGAAGTCACAGAGGGACAAATACAAGGCAGATGGGTTCTTTAAGAAGTTCATGTATTTCTCACTGGAGAGTAAGGGAAGCAAAGAACTGAGGATGGTGTAGTCAACAGTATTAAATATTACAAGGTATAAAAGGTATCAAAATGGCTTTTATTAGTTTATTTTTCCTTTCAACTTATAAATGCTATCACAGATTCTAAAGAAACCGGATTTGGGTGAAATTTCTTTTTATTTTGACAATACAGATCTAAGGACAGAAAGATAATTATGTGCTATCTTACAGTTCCTTGGAAAAATAATATGTGAAAAATTAGTAGAAAATGAAAATCTGAAGTTATCTGAAATCTAAAAATGTTAAGCAGTCTCTCCTGCATTTTTGTTTTGATCACCTTGTAGAATAACGGTGCATACCCTTGTGCTCATGGTGCAGGTGCCCTCAGAGCTTGGCATAGTCCTTCAGAATCATCTGAAGCTTCTGGCTCAGCATGATGTTGCCCCTGGCCTTCAAGCGGCCACTGAAGAAGGCCTGCAAAGAAGGGGGAAGAGCAAACGTCACACGGTTCCACAGTGCTGCTCATTGAGGAGGACAGTTGTTTATAGACTGACACAGGAGAGTTAACAACGCTGGACATCAAAGGCAACTTTCACCTACCAATGACAGCTGACTCAGATGAACTCCTATTATTAGATCTCTAAGAAAAAAGACTCCTGTGTGTTTAGAAAATCAGAATAATTTATCTGCACTGACATGTCTGGAGTCCTATTTCAACCTATATTTCTGGCAATACGGTTTTTACATGTGAATTTAGACCATGTGACTAAAAGGCTATACTATAATTCCTAATAAACTTCAATTCAGAACTGTAAAAGCAGATTAACTACGTTTATTGCATTTCCATCCCTTAGAAAGCCATGCAATGCAAAGCAAGACTGTGTATCACTGTGGTGAGTAGACAGCTGCTACACATCCAGAACGCCTGGTTAGAATTCAGATGCTGCCACTCACTAGCAGGGGCGCGTGGACAAACCACTTAAACCCCTCTGAGCTCCTGTCTCGTCTACCACACATAATGCCAGCAGTATCTGAGTCTTGACTTTGTGTCCTGCTGCTTTACTAACTTCATTTATCAGTTCTAAGTCTTTCGGTTTTTGAAGCACTGTCACTGCAAATAAGGATAATTTCACTTCCTTCTTTCCTGTTTGTACACAATTGCTTTTGCTGCCCAGCTGCTTGACTACACCTTCTAGTACTATACTGAGCAAGTCATAAGAGCAGACCCCTGTGTCCTGATCTTAGGGGAAATGGTTTCAGTTTCTTCCCCATTCAGTTTGATGTTGGCTGCTCATTTATCATGTACAGACTTTCTTATGCTGAAGCTGATCCTTCTGTACCTAACTTGTTCAGTGCTTTTATCATGAAGGGATGTTGAATTTTATCAAATGTGTTATGTGCTTCTACAGAGATGACTGTGTGACTTTTATCCTTTATTCGGTTGACATGATACACTGTGATCATTGATCTACATAGTTGTACCACTCTTGTGGTACAGTTGGAATGCAACTGAGTTGATCACAGCAAGTGACTTCTTTAATGTGCACTGAATTCAATTTGCTAATATTTTGAGAATTTGTCCATCTATGTTCATCAGGAAGTTTGGTGTATAGTTTTCTTCTTTTGTGTGGCCTTGTCAAGTTTTGGTAACAGTAGTGCTGACCTCATACAATGAGTATGAAGGACTTTCTCATTCCCATTCAATTCCATGGAAGAGTTTGAGAAGCACTAGTGTTAGTTCTTCTTCAGAAATATGGCAAAATTTAACAATGAAGCCATCTGGGCTTTTCATTGTTGAGACTTTTGTTACTGATTCAGTCGTGAATTGTTATTATTCTACTCAGTTTTTGTTATTGTTGTTGTTGTTTTAATGACTTCACAGTTCAATCTTGGCAGGTCACATGTGTTCAGTAATTGGTCTGTTTTTTCTAGATTTTTTTCAGAATAACCCTAAAGATCCTTTGAATTTCTGTGGTATCCATTGGTAAAGTCTCCTTTTTCATCACTGGTTTTTGGGGGTTTTGTGGTTTTGGTCTCTCTCTCTCTCCAGCTTTGTCAATCTTATTAATCTTCAAATACCCAACTCTGTGCTCCTCTGATCTTTGCACTGTCCTTTTACACTCTACTTAGACTCTATTAGGATCTTCATTTCCTTCTACTAATTTGGGGTTTGATTTGTTCTTGCTTTTCTAACACCTTGAGATGTGTCATTAAGTTGTTTAAATTTCCCTTCTGACTTCCTCAATGCCCCACTGTTCATTCAGTTTATGTATATGTAATTTTTCTAAAGTGTCTCTTGCTGCTGACACTAGTAATATTGTGATCAGAAAGGATACAGAATGTGAGTTCAATTGTTTTGTGGCCTCATATGGTCTGTGTTAAGAGTACAGGACATGTGCTGATGAGAAAACTGTTTCGCAGCTGTTGGATGGAATGGTCTGTGAATGTCTATTCAGTCCATTTGAGCCATAGGACAGTAAAACTGATATCTCTTCATTGGCGTTCATTTCACTGGATCCATTAGTGTATAGGATATTGAACTTCTCCACTACTATTGTATTGGAGCCTTTCTTTCCCTTTAGTCTAATAATATTTGTTTTGGAAATTGGGTGCTCCAACATCTAGTACATATAAATTTTATAATCATATCTTCTTGGAGAACTGATCTTTCATCATTATATTGTGACCTTTGTCTTACCTATTTTGTCAGATATATGTATAGCTATACCTGCTCACACTACATTTCCATTTCTTTGGAGTATCAGTTCCCATTCTTTCTCTTTCAGTCTGTATTTTTTAGTTGGACAATGAAAACTATTTATATTCAGCTATGATAAAGGTATGCACTTGTGCCTGTAGTTTGTTGATTTTCTTATTTTTTTTTCTCTTATTCTACTTCATAGTTTGATGGTTTACTATATTGGTGTTTCTTTTCTATCTACTCTTCTAGTAAGATTTATACATTAGTAGATAGTACTCATGAGAATATGCTATTTATTAACACTGTTTAAAATACACCAGATGTCTCCATTTCTTTGTGTCCATAAAAAGTATTACTGCTTACCAGGAAGAGGCGACAGATCTGACAGATGGCAGGATAGGACCCATGCCTCTTAGACTGTGGACACAAAGATGGCAGGCCTTCAAACCTCCTCCAGTCTCAGGACTAGGGAGAGCATGTTTGGGCATGGAGCAGAGTAGCCAGAGGTTAAGCTTACGATGCCATAGATAGCAGGTCACGGATGCAGGACTCCCTTAGCACCTTTTGTAAGTCTAGTTTCATGGTCAAGAATTCCCTTCATTTTTGTTTGTCCTGCAAGATCTTTCTTTCTCCTTCAATTCTGAAGTATAATCTTGGTTTACTTGTTGGCAAATGCATCCTTCCATGCTCTCCTGGTCAGAAAACTGTTAATCTAATGGGGTTGCCTGGCATGTTTCTCTTTCAGATTTTAAAATTCTTTGTCCTATACTTTAGTTTGACTAATATGCCACAGTGGGTGTTTTTTTCTGGACATGTTTATTTGGGGCTCTACAGAAGTCATGTATTTAGATCCCTGTGTCTTTCCCACCACCAAAGGAATCTCCTACTATTATTTCACTGGATAGGTTTTCTAGGCTCTTAAACTTTATTTCTTCCCCTTCAGGCATGCCAATGATATGGATGTTTGGTCTTTTAAAGATCTTTGCTTTCTTGGTTTTTTTTAAACTTCTGTCTCAATGTGATACTTCAAAATACTTGTCTCCAAGCTCCAATTTTCTTTCTTCTGCTTGATCTATTCTGCTATTGAGGGTGTCAATTGACTTCTGCATTTCCAATCAGTTCTTTTTCAAAAGCTCTCTTTTTGTTGAATTTCTCAGTCAGATCCTACACTGTCTTCCTAGGTTCATTTAATTGTTTATATTCTATTGGATCTCAATGAACTTTTTGAAGACTTTGTCAAGGTTCATCCACTTCGGTATCTTCTGAGTCTGTTATTAGAGAGTTTTCATCTTTAGAAGGCACTGCACTGTTTTCATATCTGTGAAATGGATCTGGTGGAATGGATCACTCTACCAATTTTATGGGTGGCCTGCTTAGAGAGCAACTTTCTCCTGAAGACATGTCTTGAGATAGCAGTTTGCTATACAATTTGGAGTTTATTTCTAGCTTGGCATCAAAGTGTAGTCTCCCTGTAGCTTTTTTGACTGTAATCAGTAAGTTTGGGCACAGTGTGTACCATATCAGAGTCAGAGAGACCTACTGCCTCTAAAGGTGGTACAAGAGTGGGGACACTAGCTGTTCAGGCAGGTGGGTGCCCCTATGGCTACTCCGGTTGTGGTGAGGGGCCTGAAGCACTTGTCCTCTGACAAGACACTGAAGCTTCAAAGAGAGACAGATGTGGGAATCACCTGCAGCATGCACACCCAGCCTTGTCAGCAGTGCTTGATCGTAAGGTGCAGGGATGACCCGTGAAGGTGCGGTGGCAGCAAGTTATGTCATGCTCCTGCAGGCACACAGGGAGGGGCCAATGGCCTGGGTCCCTCTATTCAGCAGTTCTGCCCTCTCCCCCTTATTGTCTTCTTCCTTCCCCAGGCTTAGGTGAATACTCTATGCAGTCTGACAAGCAGGAGTTCCTAACTTCTACTCATCTAAATGACTGGTATTAAGCCTATGTTCTATACTTCCTTTAATCGATCCAGTACTGTCTACGGGGTGCTGGACAGTATTCTAGGCCAAGGAACAGACATCTGTTTGTCTTCTCATGAAGCTGACCTTAAAGCAGGGGAATAAAAAATGTAATCAAGTAATCTTTACTTGTCCATTGGCCTCCTCACGGTTATATGTGTCCAATAAGCTAAGTTATTTATGCCTCAGGCCTTTGTTCAAATCTTCACCAGGCACTTCTGTATAACCGAATCTAAAACATTTCCCCTCTCCCTTGTGTTCCAACTCACGGAGGGCAGACCAAGGCCTGAGAGCCACAGCTAGCCTGCTACTTGTCATTACGCATCTACCATTAACAATGGCAAGCTGAACAGCAGCAGCAACATCCTCCCCCACACATGACATAAGCACCACCTGTGTTTTCTTTACAATGGAGGGTTCTCAGGAATGAAAACTTAGACATCAGAGCAAAACTGCAATGGTCAACAAAGAAGCTGAGTAAGGGACAATTCTGAGCAAGTCACCTTCTGAGGGTCCAGCTTGCCCAGGACCACTTCCATGAAATCTTCATCTGAGATGATGATGGTTGTATCCGCAGAGCCCTCTGCAGGGCCCTGATATACCTTCCCAGAGCCGCTTTTCAGGTCAATTGCTGGGAAGGACAAGGAGAAACCAATGTGCATCACTTTTCTCTTCACAGGGTAAGAGTAAAAAAGTAACCAAAACAGAAACAATTTTTATAGCTTCCCTGCTAATGAGGTAATTATTTTATACTTACTTCTACCTATAGGTTAGAAAATCTTTTTTAGATGCCTTTTTTTGTATAAAGGTCTTCAAAAATAGTCAAATCAGTAATGGCTTCTCCTGAATGAAGAAGATTCATATGAAATACTATAATGTGAATTAATGTGGAATAAGATTGTAAGGAAGTGAAGCTGCTGGAATATATACAATTAAGTCCTTTAAATTCAAACAGAATTTAGAGTCAGCAAAGCTGAATTTAAATAGTTGCCTGCTGGGTGGGTTGGGGACACCTTTTGAATACCCAAATCCATCAAAGGTTTTGCCACAGGCATAACAGAACAACAAGAACAGATCTGAAGAATCTGATTTATTCCAAACACAGTCAATGCAGAAATTATTGTTGATTTTTTCAAGTTAGCTTCTCCTCTTCTAACATTTCTTGACAGAAGGATCAAATGTCCCAGAAACAGGCTCAGTAATGGAGAAAACTACTGGGAACTCTGCCTTTGTTGCTGTCTATACAACATTCATGGAGCTGTAGACTGGATTTAGACTTCAGAAGATTTGAGCTGCCCCAGACCACACTGGCCCAGATGTGCAGGGACCTACTGCTCCTTCAGCTCTGGCCTCTCCCTCATTCCACTGGAGGAGCCTCCCCACAGTGAGGAACAGAAGGCTGAAGCAGTACATTCCACTTAGCAAGCCCTGCTCCAAAGAGAACCTAAACCACTCCAACTTGTTAACAGGACAGTCATGTTAGAACCAAACCCCTTGCAGGTGGCTTGCTGGAAACTCCTTACCGGACTCCAAGGACTGACAAAGGGACAGTTTGTTAACTTTTATCTCTGGGTGGGCACCAAGGACAGTTAAGCAGACAGTGACCTAACCACAATGTATCTTCCTTGGTTTCCCAGCAACGGTATTCCTTAGTGACCTTCCTGGCACTTTTCCACTAGCCTCCTTTATCTACCCCAAGTCTGTGTGTGATAATGGTTTCTAGCTCTCTTGCTGAAGACCTCCTCCACAGGCTCTCTCTCCCAAATAAGGCCTATGCTGATGTTGAGCCGCCTCCTGTCTTTCCTTCTGTGCCTCCCTTCAGTCTAACACAACTCTCTGCAAAAGAGAATTTTGCCAACTACTTTAAGAGGGCAAAAAGGGCAAAGAGGGTATGGATGCTTTGGATGCTTCACTTTTAAGTTTCTAGGGTCAGGCAAATATGTATTACAGATCATACCAGAAGTTGGAAATGGCCAAATTAAACCACAGCCCTTTCTCATAATTAAACCCAAGTAAGAGATGTACACTTACAAAACACAGCAAGATTACTAAAAGAGACTCTGTTCAAAGGAAATTCAGAAATTTATTTATCCACCTGTTGTCCATTTTCACCTTTTCTACCCAACCAAAACTACCTAGAGAAAAAATATTCAAAGGGTAAAATACCTAAACACTTAAGATACTTGAAAAGTTTTTTAATATGTCCAAGCCTTCAATTCTATTCTGTAGCAGTAAGACGACACAGACGTCAAGATCACTGTTCTTGCTATTCTAACAGATAATAATCAGAGAGAAACGGGCTTAATTTTGACCTAGCTACTTAGAGTACCATCTGTGGGCAATGCACAACTCTAAAACTATATTTCATGATTGCAACATTGTACCTAGCAGAATAAATAAGATAAGGTGCAGGTGAGCATTACAGGACAGGGCTGACTTCCTCCACACCTGTCCCTTTTGGCCCACAAAGAGAAAGAAGGGCCTAGATTCCCTCAGCCTGCTCACCCAGACAGTCCTCCTCCTACCATATAATACACAACAGGCCCAGAGAGGCTGGCCCCAAGACAGTTATGACACTTCCTCCTCCAGTCAAAAACAACAGTGTTCCAGCTAAGATGGGCCTGGTCCAGGATCCTTGCATTGGAATGTGACCTGTGGGTTCTGTAAGCACCCCAGAGACACCATGCTGAGCATCAGTGCACTGAAGTGCTCATTCCCACTCTTGGTATTCACGTTCTGGTCTGCTGTGATGTGAACAAGGCTGGGACACTTAATAACAACTTAAAATACAAAATACTTGGTAAAGCTCAGCCAAACATTTAAAAACTGGGGTGGGAGGGTAATTCCCTAAGACAAAGTCTATTCCATATCATTAAGCAGCAAGCTACAACACAAAGATGCCAAAATGGAATCAGCCTCTACGATGTCTTAAGCTAAAAGGCTTAGTTAAGAGTTTTAATTGTTGCCCAGTACCGTGGGACACAGAGAGGGAAGAGCACAAGAACCAGAATGGAAGCAGCTACACAGTTAAGAATCACATCAATAGACAGAACACCAAAGGGAGAGAAGGGCAAGTCCTTTCAGAAAAGTTTTAGGATCCAATTTAATTGTTGGCTTTGATAAATAAGAATCTGAAGAAATACCACAAATCATCAATGGTAAGCAGCAATTAACAGGATTCCAATATGCCCATTTTCTAGTGGGAACATAAAGTGGTGGGGGAAAACCTTTCCAAGGTTAATTAAAGACAATAAACCACCATGCCTGGCCTTGTAAGCACACTTTCTAATACTGCCCAAGGAAAGATTCACCAAACCAAGGGGGAAATCTGTATATAGTGTTGGCCTACAGTGAACACTTTACTTTAAGACACAGCTGTAGCACTTTTCTCATTACTGTGGCTCACATTTCACTCCTTCACAACATAATCTCACAAATCCTGCACTTTGAAGAGGAAGACAGAGAAAAAAGAAACTATAGTGATGAAGCCTATGTATGTCCTGCTCAACTGTGAAGTTTACTGATCTTTGGGAAGATACCTATCAGATAAACAAGCATCTTGGATTACAAAATGTGGGTCAAGAAAATAATTGATTTTATAGTGGTAATACTTAAGAAGGTAAATCAAACTACTGTTGGGATGAAGAAAACAGTTGTAAAATTGTAAATATAATGGCTTACTATATTTCACTTCACCAGAGATGTTAAAGATGCTAAGCTAACATGACTGGTTCCAGGACCTATCCCTGTGGGCATCACCCTGAGGATTCTGATGACCCTTCCCTTATGTGAGATGGCAATGCGTGCACACATGCACACACTCTCACCCTCTTTAAGTCACCTCCAGATCCCCACGACAACCCCCGATATGACATGACTATCTGTTACACTGCACTGCGTCCAATTGATGCAGCCATCATGAAAACATCTCTGTGTTTTCATTCTGTGGCTACAGAACCCATGCACATGGAGTGCCAGCTGTACTCATTTTAGGATCACAATGAGATCTTTAAAACATGGTTTTCATTTTAGTGGCTGCCCTCTCTAAGAAAAGATATATGTCTTGGCATACACATGGTACCTCAGGCCAAAGATCGCATCTTTAACAAGAGCCCTTGGGCGTTTTATAAATTAGGTGTGACTTACTCCACTTAGCTGCAGTGTTCCCGCCTTTGGTGATATGCCACTCGAACACAGCATTCACTTTCTTCACCACCTCACCCCCGACGTCCTTAAGGCGGCGACCTATCTCCTCAAACACAAGAGCACTCTGAAGCTGCTCACCCTGACAGAAAGAGAAAATTTAAAGTTCTGTAAAAATGACTCAAGGGAAAAATGATTATGGATTTATGCAATACATGATATTCCTTAAATCTGCCCATAAATAATGCAGTTAGACTATTTTATTCGCATAAGGCTCAACACTTTCCTTATACCTATGAACCTCACTCTTGATTCTTTTGCTTGGTGGTACTGGGGTTTGAACTCAGGTCTTCTCACTTGCCAGGCAGGTGCTCTACCTTTATCAGAATTCAAAAGTATTTTTTAAACTAAGCTAGGAATTGGATCTCCTAGTTAACTTCAGATAGATACAGAGCGGGGATTCCAAGATGGCGGCGAGAGGGAGGAAGCAGAAA